TCCCACCAGTGCCGAACAGCTGCAGAGTGGGGATGACATGGAGATGAGGGGAAGGTGATAGTGACCGCCGCGCTGTTTCGTGCCGCCTGAGAGAACTTGTCCCCTGTTTTTGGCTTGGCAACACCTCCCTGTATCATACCTTAGACACACCCATTGCGTGTGGCGCCCTGCCTCTCTTGGGGTACAGTACTACGATGCCGCTGGAGTCACTCAAACCCCCAGAACCGAGCCTCTACTTTAGTCAATCCTCTTTGGAGGATTGACTAAAAACTGGCCAGAACTGAGCCGCTCAGTGGGGGTTTGAGGGACCCAACCGGCACTGTAGTCCTCACCCCAAGAGAAAGTGGGGGGCGCACCCAATGGTGGGGTGTCTGCCCGTCAGCCGACTCGGTAAGTGCCTCAGTAGTAGTCCCGCTGTCAGAGGGATCAACCGATTGGGTGTATTTTATTTTTTGAAAATTAAAAATTTTTCAATTTCAGTGAATACCTCCTCGTTTTACATGCTCCCCTGTTACTTTTTTGAAAATTTTTAATTTTTCAATTTCAGTGAATACCTCCTCGATTTTCATGCTCGCCTGATACTTTTTCGAAAATTTCGAATTTTTCAATTTCAATGAATACCTTCTCGATTTTCATGCTCCCCTGATACTTTTTCGAAAATTTCGAATTTTTCAATTTCGGTGAATACCTCTTCGATCCTCATTTTCCCTTGATATTTTTTCGAAAATTTTGAATTTTTCAATTTCAGTGAATACCTCCTCGATTATCATTCTCCCCTGATACTCTTTCGAAAATTTCGAATTTTCAAATTTCAGTGAATACCTCCTCGATACTCATGCTCCCCTGATACTTTTTCGAAAATTCCGAATTTTTTATTTCAGTGAATACCTTCTGAATTGTCATGCTCCCCTGATACTTTTTCCAAAATTTAATAATAATAACTCCTGTGGATAGTGTTCTACACTGTGGGTTTATTTTCATCGAAATTTATACAGGACCAGAATTTTTCTTCGGCGAAATCGGAACTGCATGTCGCATTTAATTTCTCAGGCCCTGCAATGTGGAGATAATTCAAGTACTCCATCGATGCAGCTACCTCAGGCCAGCGGATGTTATTTGGAGGTGACCTGAAAATAATTAAAAAATTTTAGAATTCAGAATTCAGGTAAAGTCTGATTAATTCTTTGAAATAATACCCTTTCTGCAGGAAAGATTCTATAATATCAAGAAAAATCTTCTGCATATTCAACGTCGGTTGATCAGTGATAACTGGTAATCCTGAGTCTATGAATGTGAACGCATCGTCACTATGACTGACACCTTAAAAAAAATAATAATATTATTGTCCCAAATTTTTTCGAAAGAATTAGCCCATTCATTACCCCCCGAATGAATCTCCTTATTTCCGTTGTATTTCAAAATGGAATTATTCGTACAGTAGTTTAGATTTTTATCGCTCTTTTTTTAATCGACGACTTAATATTGAATTGAACCTGACGATTGGAAACAATATTTTTATGAATCTTTCATCTATTTATACTTGCCGTAATTTCCAGTCACATTGAAGACGTCGGTCAAACTGATCGAAGCTCGATAATTATAATAGTAAAACCAAACTGGACTCCGATTGATTTTTGCCATTAACTTTGCAGCTTTTGCCGCATCGACCGAGAATAATCGATCTCCAACCATATGAATCAGGGATTTCGCAGTATCTTTCTGGATTTTCCGATTGCCTAAATAATGTTTTCTAATTTTAACCGCTATCCGTGCATGTTGTGACTGGGGAATCGTGTAATTGAAGTCAAGTAAATGCGGTGCGAGTTCTTCCCATTTTTCATCCAACTCTGCCATGAATTTCCCTTCGATAAATTCCACGATAGGGTACAGTCCTTCTTCGGATGTGACACTTGTGATCCAGGGAAGATCGGCAGCATCTCCACTGGTAATTATCTCGATTGGCGAACGGCTGATGAATGCTGATGGTGAGTTTTCTTCCACCACTGGCCCGAAAGGAGTGAATGGATTGAACCACCATGGCTGGAGGAATAAAAAAAGAAAAAAAAATAAGTAAATAAACAAAAAAATAAAAGAATTGGAATTTTTTAAAGAACTTTATGGGACTTCTATTGACTATTGCAATAGTCTTCTTCATGTCATGGTAAATGTTTACTTGAAATTGTGCGACTAGTTGAACTATGCTCCTAGCAGGTCGAGATTTCAGGCACTCCACCATCTCCTTGGTGCTATTTGTTGGACATCCCTGCAGAGATCCCACTTTTTTTGCTTTCTCAGGACTATTTTCAGTTTGCGTCCAACAATCAAGAGCAGTCCCACTGACGGAAATTCCACCTGTTGACCAATAAGACTGATCGACTCAAAGATTCCCGAAAAGCAACAAAGGAAATGTGAAGCGGAGTGGTAAATGAATTTATGTATTAATGATTTTATCAAAATCAAGATGATGACAATGCAGAATATAAATCTATCGATCAAAGTAATTATCCAGACGTTTATGAATTGTCCACTGTAAGTTAATGCATAGATAAATGGATGAAAAATACACATTTCGATTGATCACTTGGAAATAAAAAATTGAAGCTATACCTTGGAACAGACCACGACTCATCGGGCTCAAATAGTGGTAATGAGTGCTAGCTCCGCCAGCACTTACTCCACCGATAGTAATTCGATTGGGATCACCACCGAAGGACTCGATATTCTCATGTACCCACCGCAGTGCAAGACTTTGATCTTTCAGCCCCATATTCCCTGGAACAACTCCATCGCCAGTGCTCATGAATCCTGGAAGTAAGTAATCAAGAGCATTCATTGATGTCACAATATCACATTCAATGCGAGGAAACATTACCTAAAATGTTTAAACGATAATTAATGGTGACAAAGACTAAATCTCGATTCATGATGTACAATGGACCCTCATGGGATCCTTGTCCAAATTGGAAAGCCCCACCGTGAATCCAAAAAAGTACTGGAAGTTTGGATTCCTTCTTCGTTTGGTTAAAGGGAGTGTAGATGTTCAAGTACAGACAATCTTCTTCTCCTGTGATTCTTCCAGATGGATTTCCTAGTTCATGCGTATATGCGACACATCCACTTTTAGGACTCGTTGCCAGGAGTGTATCTTCCCAGGGGCCATTGTCGTTCGGAGGCTATTATATATATGAAGGCATTATAATTTTCATTTTAAACTCTAATAGAAAATTTTGGCTGTTTATTGAAGGATCAAATGTGGATTATTCAAAATTTAGACAGATCCAATTAATAATGCATCGAGATTGTGGTATAAGGTAATCAATATTTTCAATCTGACAAAATCAGAGTTTTTTTTAAGACAACGTAATTAAACACCGGTGCGTTAAATACGAGAAATTACGTTAAACATGGTTAATACGAAAAGGATACGCCTAACAGAAAAATTATTTAAAAAATAGAGTCATGGGATGGGGTAAAGAGTGAGGAGAGGAAGGATAAAGGTTCGCAAGTCTTGCAATCCTTCATGCCACTTCGAAATGATTAATGATTCCCTGGATCTGACAATAAAAAATTATTTTTACCTCGAATCTTAAGTTTCCCACTGGCGGTTTAGCGTAAGGAATTCCTTCAAATGCCCTGTATGCGCGTCCATAACTACTGATCTTGGAGAAGCCCTGAACACTTCCTAAAGCAGTTTCGACTAATAGATCTGATATTTCCCCAAACAATCCATTCACAAAATTATTTAATAAAAATAAAAGTATTATAGGTTTCATCATGATTTTACTGTGGAGCAGAATTCGATTACAACCCGATTGTATGCGCAACTGCTTGCAGCTCGTTTTATATCTTTTCGATAACGATATTGATTTTTATTGATGTTAATTATTGTGCAAATAGATTGATGAACGATAAAAGATTTCATGATGTGGAATCAATAGATATCAGAAAACGAAATTATAGAAAAATAATTCTGCGATAAGCAAAAAATGTAAATTGGCCAGGAACAAGTGTTCTGATATTCCGCGAGTTTGTCTTGCATTTGAATTTGCGAATTTCAAGTAATGAGTTATTTTATAGATGGTAATAATCAAATATTTAATTTTGAACTGATAAGATAATTACGGAGTGGGTAAGTGATAATAACGCGAATGGAGAATTTCGTTGAGTGGCATGTAGGAAGGGAAAAATAAAAAACTGGGAGATATAATAGAAATTAAATCTAGGATACTCGCTGTAAAAATTTATTATAGTTGTTTATGAAATTCATCGGATTATTATAATTTCTTCCGATCTTGTGGCTGTTCAATCAAATATTACCGGAAACTCCCGTTAAATTTCAGGTGCTTTTAGACTTTTAGCTTGCAGACCGCGAACTTCTCGTATTTGAACGTGGTGGTATCGAAAGAAGGAGAACCATATTTAATCATACCACTTGAAAGAACACGAGATGATAATTCATGGTTATAATCTGGGCTCATGAATACATTAATAAACTCAAAGAATTTCCCACGTAATGTATCGCAGTCTATTCGTCTTTAAATACAAAGTGATTAAAAAAATGATTGAATAAATAATGAGAAGAAGGATATCTATACCCTAGACCAAATGTTCAAACATTCGGCGAGCATTTTGAGATCGTATAAAAGCACAGAAATACGGCGATGGAATTATCTCGTGGTGCTATCAATTAGACATGACGCGAGTTTCAACATTAATTAGCTGCTTTCTATTTTGTGGTAAGTGATGCTCTCAGTTATTATTTTGCCTGCTGAGAATTTGACACAGCGTAAAGTAATTATATTTTTCGAACATTGCTGTATGAGCGAATCTGATAGTTTGTTTTTTGGATGAGCTTACGATTACAATGCTTCCCTTCGGAATCAAAAGGATTTGAGTCCGTGTGTAATTTTCAGCACTGGCTCAAGTGCAAGCTAAACCAGGATACGGTGGAACTGACCAGGAATGGGGAACAATAGAAATTCGTCCTGGTGCTCACGCCTTCTGGTGGTTGTACTATGTCAATCCTCCGTCAAAACCACCGAATTTTGATGTTTACAGTAGACCATTAATAATATGGCTGCAGGGAGGACCTGGTTTTGGTGCTTCTGGAATTGGAAATTTCCTCGAAATCGGTCCATTCGATATGAATGGAAACCCTCGCAACACAACATGGGTCAATGACTACAACATTCTTTTTGTCGATGCACCAATAGGCTCAGGTTTCAGTCATGCTGATTCCGATAAAGTGTACAGTACCAGCGATCGTGCAGTCGCTGAAGATGTCATCAGTGTTCTCAAGCACTTCCTGGAGACATTCCCGACATTTAAAAAAGTCCCAACATACCTTGTGGGCCAGTCTTACGGAGGCAAAATAGCAATCCGTGTTGCGTGGGAATTGGTAAATTCCATGGTTCTTCTAAAATTTAATTTTCTTAATGATGATACCGATTAATTACCATTATTTTCAGTATCAGGGGAGCCAAAATTTCGAGCACAACCTCCGGGGCGTCGGACTCGGTAGTCCAGCAATATCATCATTGGATACGTTAGAGGCTGTTCCATCATATGCATTTCATCTGGTAAAGAAAGATAAAAAAAAAGAATAATTTTGAAGATGATTATCGACGAATAATACGTATGATTTTGAATGCACTTCACCAGTTGATTAATTCGTTTTAAATATCGGATTTTCTTCTAAAAAAATTCGATGAATTCGTTAATATTGATAATTATCGGGACTGTTAATTTAAGAGCGTAATCAACGTGAGATCTTTCTAGAGCGATTCAATTGAGAAATATATATACTTCTCTCACCTAAATAGGGTCTTGGATTTTTTTTTCGGAGCCCTGATGATACGTTATATTAGACATTGTAAGTAATAATATTTTCAGGGGTTTATCGATGCTAAGCAGAAAGATGCAGTCCAAGAGGTGGTTGATCAGATAAAAAAACCCATAGAGCAAGAAAGGTGGACAGAGGCGGTGGATAAATGTGGTGATGTGTTGACAAAATTGTGGGAGTATACCGAGCCTTTTGATTACACCAATATCCTCCAAAAACACAGCCCTGATTGGCTCTTCAACAAGCGAATCTTAGAAACTAACGCCTTCATGAATAAGAACGTAAGACCTGTGCTGAATGTTACCGCTGACTTTGGAGCGCAAATGGATCATGTGTTTGAAGCTCTTCTGCAGGCTTATATGAAACCTGCAATCAATTACGGTAATTATCAGTACAGTAATTTGCAAAGGGAATCGTCATTGATTAAGAAACATTCTGATGACTTTTTATTTTAATTAGTCGGGAAACTTTTGAATCAAACAAATCTGAAAGTCATTGTATACAGCGGTCAGCTGGACTTCTCCGTTCCAATTGCATCAATGGTCTCGTTGTTTGATCAAATATTTGAGCAGGACAGTGGATGGAGCAATGCTAACAGAACTACTTTGGTTGTCGATAATATGATCGAAGGATATCAAAAACATTATCGCAATTTCAGTCTCTACTGGGTCTTCCGCGCTGGGCATTGGGTAATCCTCACAAACCAATTATGGATTATAATAAGTGTTTATTTTCAAAGTCAGTTCCACTAAATATTTTGTAATTGAATGAAAATACTGATTTTTTTAACAAATAATAAAAATATTGCTACCTTTGATTAATTCCGAGATAATTGCGAAAAATTGAGCTTGAAAAAAATACACTTGTTCTACTCGTTTTTCAATTTTCTGTGGAATCAAATCGATTGATTTACATAATTATATATTTCCAGGCACCACCAGACAATCCATATGCCCTTAGAAAAATATTGCAGCAATTCATTGGCTCCTGAATGGAAAATTCAACAGATGTATTTACTGAAGAAATAGTTATGTTTTTCATTATTATAGGAATAATTTATTCTGATCCTCTCGGAGAACGATAAATAGAGTGAGTAGAGAGGTGGAAACAATTTAGAGAATAATACACCGAACAATAAATATACCAATTATTCTGTTTATCTTAGTCTCAGTAATATCATCCAGTATGGAAATTTTATAATTATGGGAATGACCGCGCGGTCTGCGCTCTATTCCGCTCGGTAATTTTTGCACTGTTATTTTTATTGTAATGTTTTTTAGTGTAACATCATTATTGTTTGTCATTTGCAGCGGTAACCCCCGGGACAGTTGATCTGAAAGGTTCCTGTAGATTTTAAAATCGATTGTCGATAATATCTGGTCAAAATGTACGGGAATTTTCGTCTTATCGACAGGGGCTAATCCTTAATTAACAAAAAATAATAAATTGTTTAATTTATTCGACTTTCCAGGTATTTTCTTCTACGTTTCCGCAAAAGATATCTAAAATAAATGAAAATGTCGTTTATTGGCAGTTATTTGCAGGGTGTCAGGTTTATGAATATTAATTAACACTTTTTCCGAGAATCAAGCAATTTATCCTGACGATAAAACATCGCTTCTAGCTGCGCGAAAAATTAATTACTCGGCCAATTAAAAATTACTCTTAAAATTGCAACTAAATACATTTCCATTTTCAGATCGCAATTAAAACCAGTCTAAACAGTGAAAAATCATGGAATTTCTTTTTTGAATCCTCAATCTACTCGAAATTCGATAGAATTTAATATTCAAATTTAATTCAGAGAATTAAAAAAAAAATATAACACAAAAACGTAATATTTTTTACTTAAACATCTTCCAACGAATGGTGATATATGTTTAATAATTTAGATAATAATGCTAATGAATGGGTTGACTCGCGAGTTGAGCGGTTTTATCTTCTTTCAACTGAGCTTTCACGTGAAAATTTAGGTATTCGGTGGTCGTCCTTTACAACTGTCCTGTGGTTACATCGGGCCACTATCCACACGTGCGTGAAGTAATCTCCGCAGTTGAATGTACCAATATGGTCTTGGTACAGAGTACCGCTTTGAAGCTTACGGGCACTCACCTTCCGGATGAGAGTTTTAGGAAGACTTCGGTTATCGTCATTTACGCTACCTGCACACTGGTATAACGGGCTTAATGCAGCTTGTGTACATATGAAACTTTATGAACCACATTAGCATACTAAGTATCAAACCTCGGGACAACTCAAACTCAATTTCCTACTCATTCAGATAAATTTTAAATTAAACTTTGTCCGGAACAAATTTTCAAATGCGTAGTTAATCTCATTAAAATAAACATATCTCTATTTCCCATTGGAAAACCCTTGGAGTCGCCTCGAAAATTGAGTTTTCATTTTTGCTCGTGTGCATAGAAATATATTTTCCCACTTATCATGGAAAGTGGTGGAATCCTGATGCTATGCAGATGTTCAACAACAAAAATTAATTGGATGTCTCTTTCGACGGCCCATAATAATAAAATCGGTGCAAACTCTTCTGGTTTCTCATTTTGAGAACAATACGTAGAATTTTTACACTTGACTTTTGACGGAAATATTTGGTGAAATTTATCCTCAAGTTTCTTAAATATGGATTAATGATAATTCAAGATTTTTTTTAATAGAAGGATTTTTTTAATTGGATAAAAAAAAATATAAACGTTGAACGAAAAATTACAATTTTTGACACAATGTAATTTTTAATTCAAATTTCTGGTTAAATTAAGTTTGAAAAAGGACACATTTATCAATAATTAATTTTTTGTATTGAGATGACATAATCAATAACTTAATCAATTATTTTTGGTATAATAAATTAATCTCAATTCGCTTGTTTAATTGTATCTAGTCTTCCTGAACACTTCTAAAATAATCGCATTAATTTTCTCCTTCAAGCTATATAAATCAGACAAATGTTGTTTCTCTAAAAAAAATTATCGTAATGCCATGAAACATCTATTGCTTGTTTCCACGTAGTAAATCAAACTTCTTGAACTAAACGTGAAGTTGAGCTTCCGTTCTGCACTCCGAATTTTAAGTTGTTCCAAGAAAATACAGGATGTCTCTCCTAGTTATAAGTTTCAAAATTTCGAATCGTTCATTATCTAAGGAAATGATTGAACTCCCGCAAATTCAGAAAATTCAGCACAAGCGAAAAAAGGGAACTTCAAAAATAGTTCGAAACCAGTTCAAGAGCATTCTCCCCGAAGTTTACAACGATTAGTACTGAATAGTACAGAATGCTAAGCTGCAGATTAACGAGGGTTTATCCACGACGAGCTTCGCAGATCGTTTCAAATCTTTGTCATAAACAAACCATGAATTCACGATTGCACATTAAATACGACAGGAATACTTATCACTTTGTACGAGGAATTCTCGTTGAAATTGGAGACAAGAGTTTTATGCGACGATGAATTATGAACTTTCGAATTTACAAGAATATTACATGATATATTCAACATCAAATGGCCTTCGTAGTCGCTCTATGACATGTACTGAACCGAGACATAATTCAGCAGAGAAAAAATGAAGGATCAGAAATTGACTCGCCATTTAGTTCAGGTTCTTGAGGAATATCTCTATATTTAAATGAGAGCGAAATTATCCAGACAAATAATAACAATTCTCAGTTATAGGTATGATTATATAAATATTGAAAATTATCAATGAATTGGAAATTTCAGGATGACGTGCTCTTGGGGTAAAAATTTTGGGATTTATCCACTTCTTGGGAAGATAGAAAATCAAATTCCCGAGAATAGGTGGGACTACGAGGTACAGTATTTGAGAATTTAATTCGAAGGCATTCGCATTGGCCTCCATTTTGTATCATTTCCTTCGCTTTGAAGCTCGTGAACTTTTCATTTTGTCGAGGTAACTGAGGGTAATGGCGAGAACGTGATCCTTCGTATGGACAAAATCTATTACTTCAGGAGAAAAATGTCGTAATTAGTTTGTTATTGCAAAGCTGAGGAGAAAGCCGGGAAGAGAAAACTTTATTGAATTTTCTTCACTGTCCCTTCGCACTTTATACATCACCGGTGAAAGACATTCTCTTCCGCCAATGCTCGAGTCCCTCCGGTGCAACATACTCTTCTTTCTTTGTCTGCAGTCTTCATGATGTTCAGTGGTTTTTTTTATCCAAATTTTCTCTTTGAGATTCACAGCAAAAACCCATCATAAAGAAGAAGCATTCTTCCCCTCGGTTTGAGCATTTCTGTTATGCTCGCAATGAAAAAGCTCTCTATACCGATGAATGGGTGAATGAAAAAGGGTACGACAGATGTAAGACGGAAAAGATCATTTTGGTATATTGCATTATGATGGAACATTAAATGATAATTACAATGGCTTCTTTCACTACCCACAAAGAGAAAATTGATTTTTTCAATATATCTCATGAGCAGGGAAATAGATATTGAATAAAAATTTGATCTTGTTAAGTCCACTCAGAATACCCCATATATTTATTTTATATTTATAATTATTATTGACAAAAGTTTTAATTACCAATTTTTAAAAATATTTTTATGTATATACATAAAATATTTGTATGTACTGCTTATTTCAACAAATCATTCACATAAGTTAGTAGATGCTGCAAAAAACACTTGTTTACCTCCGGATTCTTGTTTTATTATAAAAAGGTTTAACATCAAGAGTATCGATATCTCGAAAGTCTGTCATGTTTATTCCCCATTGATTAAATCGTCTGAGACGGTTGATTTGAATTCAGAACTCATTTGATTTTTAACGCTTTAATCGTGATTTTTAAAAAGGGATACATTCCTCTCTCTGGAGGGGAAGTTAGGAGGCATGTGCGAAAATGTCCCTAAACCCGATCCCCTACCACTTGTCGATGCGATATAGAGAGAATCACCGCGTGCTGTGGGCAACTGACTGGCGCGTTCACCTCAGTCGCGGTTCGCGCGTCACAAGTGCCATATCTCCGCGTCCCTCTGTCATCCCTGAAATATTTCTCCAAAATATTAACAGAGAATCAGTCCTTCATTCGGACTTCAAAACCAAATCACGAAGAAATATTGACATTTTTTTTTAATATAAAATTTTGTGAGGGTGAATGTCTACTGTATTCTCTAAGGGAATCAAGAAACAGTCAACAATTCTGCGCAGATTACTCGGGGTGAAAAAATAATCAGACCGCGATGTATTATTAATATTAATATGTCTTTAGAATTGGAAAAAATATTTGTGAGATTGAATGCCGATTAGATTTTCAGAGGAAATCGAGAGATAATGGACAGTTCGGCGCACCTTAATTGGAATTAAGACAATCGGGGAGGAGAAATGTTAATATTTTTTTTTTTAATTTTTTTATTAATATTGACAGATCGTAAACTGTTCGGTATATCGGCTTGCTATAAAAATCTGAGAGATGTGAAATATGAATATTATTCTGGATGAATAAAAATTTGTGAATGACAATTATTTTCCCAGGCGGTACTGGCGACGAATAAGAAACTGGATGCTTTTATTGAGATTAAAAAAAAAACAAAAAGCGAAATATTAATATTGCTCAGAATTTCCACGAATATTTTATGACGGGAACGGACGAATTTCTTCTTAAAAAAATAGACCGCGAATGAACCACTGGACGCATTTTATGTGAAAAATTTAATAAACAGAAATATAAATATTGCAATAATTTTTCAGATGATTTAGTGAGGAGAACTGACAACTATTTTCCTAGGAAATAATTCACGGATAATAAACAACTCAGCGGGTTTTAAACAAACAATCTACAACCAATATTATTCGAATAAATGAGCGGTAACAAACAGGAGAGGAATATTAATATTTTTCTGGATAAAAAAAATATTCTGTGAAGGGAAAGTTTCAGTGTCAAGGGCAAGAGGTGACAGCTGATAGTGACAAGAAGGGAATGAGATAAATCCGATAAATATCGGACCGAGAGTCAACACTCGTGGATGTAGTAGCTGAGGTAGTTGAAACTAGTGGCTGAAAATCCTCCAGACTATCGAGATGAACATGTTGAAAACTCCCTGAGGAATGGGATCGGTTCACATAAAAAATTCGTAAATAACATAATCAAACAGAGGACACGACACTTTTTATGAATTCTCAACAGCAATTCTCATTTATACTCGAGGCACAAGTATGTATCCGTCAACAAACCCATAACTTGTCTCGACATTGGGAGTGGGGAAATTGCTCCAATTAAAAACGGAATTATTCCTGTTTATGAGTCTGTTTGTCAGAAATATTTTTATTCCTATCAAAGGCTTGACGGACTTTGCAATTTTCTGCGGTGAACAATCGAAGTTCAACGGTGAAGTGATCAAACCCAAAGTTTCGATTCTCCACATTTATCTTTACTGAATTATTCAACAAGCGGATTAATATAAAATATTATTTTTGTCATTTAGTTATTTGCAAAATTTTTCGGAAAAATAAAATTATGATATATTACCGGGAATTCAATTGTTCGATAATTAAAACAGAATTATGAGGTTTGCACTATCAGAAAGAAATGAGAAGCACGCGATGAAAATAATCTTCAGTATTTCAACTGCAATTGCAAATATTTAATCAATTTCTCTCTTTCCGCTCCTGTGTTTTCATCTCTTGATGTAGTCATTATGACCCGTAGGAATTTATTGCAAAAAACAACTGGCATTCTGCACTGACTCCAATAATTCTGTCAAGTACAAGCGATAATAAGAACTTCGAAGCATCACTTTTGCACTTCATGAGATGACAAAGTGAGGATTTTTTTTTGTTTGTTTCCCAGGTATTCTGTGCAAGTTCAATCGCAATCGTATTAAAGTTCCACGGCCCTTTATTCTATTCCCTATTGCTCCCTCAAAGCAGTGGATTGAAAATGACAAATGACCACTGGCTAAATGCTTCGAGCTCTCCCTACGATTCTTCCGAGCTAAAAGCCATTACCGATAACCGCAAAAAGATAACTGAACAAATAAATGAGGTAATTCCGGGGACAGGCATTTTCGTTAAATATAACAACTCCATTCTAACCCTGAACTACACTCTTGGAAAATTACCCTTGAATTTCATGTTGATAAGTTGACATTTTTTCCAATGCCAAATTCACATGACATTTATTTCCATTTTCATTATTTCCATTAATAGAAATTGAGAACACTTGTTTCAATATTTAATGAATTTCTAATTATGCGCGAAAATTCATAGAAATTGGGAAAATTTAGGTAATTATTCTCTGGAATTCTTGATAAATTGGAAACTCAGTCGAATTTTATATGCAATTTTTCTGATGAGTTTGAGAGAATTTGTTTAGAAATATTTAAATTCAAAGACGGAAAAACTGACGCCAGTCCTAAAACTGGAAAATTTTCCGCTTCATTCAGCGAAATAGTAATTTCCGTCATTTCCACACGAGTAAAAAATCCCATCCCAACGCCCCAAAAATATACTCTTTCCTCTGTTTGTTCAAGGAAATTTCTCTCCGTACACTTTGCGTCATGCTCTGATGTATTTTATCCTCACCGATGTGGAAAGGTAAATTGATATAATTATAAGATGAAGCTGGCATTCCTCTGGGGCATATGCAGTGAGAACCATAGATTACTATTACACGTGTTGCTCATTTGCGCATGAGTTGATAATTAAACTTAACTTCAACAGAATACAAGTTTCTCGTATTTCTCCGAACGACTGGTCTTGGTATCAACGATCTAATAAACTTGTTTCCTCCAGATGAAAACTCAATTACTCGCGCCAATTGCAGCGATCATTTATTTCCGTAATAACTGATAGGAGATAAATAGAATAAGATTAATAGAACTTTCATTGCGCACGTGGCTTCACGTCATACCGAGAAATTCTCTAGGGAGTTTTTACGAGAGCACCATGTAGATGACACTAATAACACTGTCAGAAATTTATTGAAATTTCATGGAAAATGGAAGAGTAATTCTCATGAGATGATATCAAATTCGATTCAGAAAAAAATGGTTATAAAAATCCAGTTCCAGATAGAGTTCCAGGAAATACATGAATTTATCATGAGTAAGCGCGGTAAAAATTTAACAAGTTCAAACAATTTCCAAATGAACATTCCCATAGAAATTTCGGAATTCGTTCAAATCGTTTTTATCTGAATTCCCTTTACTACATTAATTACCTTTCATAGAATTAATGACTGAAACCTACTATTTCCTATTTTTAACCAAAATCGTCTGAAATTCAAGGGAAACATTTAATTGCTGGATATTCTAAGTGAGAGGACAGAAATTTCCGAGAAATGTCAGGGAAATTTCAATTAAAAATTTCTAACATTCCATGACGGACTGGTCTCGAACTTTGAGGAATTTAATCATGCCCTCAAGTATTTCGGTGTTAGGTTTTTTTTGGGGTTTTCCTGTGAACCAAAATCACTCTCCTGCAGGTCCTATTTTACGCCAAAATAATGAATCATAAACTTCATTACATCCTCCATTGAATAAAGTAATTTTTGCTCTACCATGTCTGAAGTTCATTTCGTCCCCATTTGATTCATAGGGTTGGTTTTAACGTTATCCTTCATATTCTCCATTTGTCCCGTTAATTAACAGCATGTAATGACGCAGGTGCTTTCTCCCACGTACCCCTATCACATCATGCACAATTTTATATCAAAAATCGTATGATGTTTTTCCCGTATATTCTCTTTATTACGTTTTGATCTTTTCCCTCTGCTGTCTGCATGATTTACGACGAGAGGAAAATATTGGCGGGCACCCTCTGCCGTACTATAGCTCCTGTTACGTGATTTCAGCTTTTCAGAATTTCTGCGTTAATCTTTGAGGCACTACCTTTGAAATTTCGATTCTTCTCTTCACCCTCGATTTTTAAAAGTTGTATATTCAACGGATAATAATTTGTAGTGGATCGAGTAAAATCTCATACTATGAGAAAAAAACATTTCCATAGTTTTCAATTTTTTATTGAATTTAAATTCAATATTTAATGTATATCTCTGTTATTTATTTATTCTCATCTTATATATAGATATAGTACATATAATATATCATGTATATTACACCATGATATTTAATTTCTTTGAAAAAATTATTATTACATTATATAATACTTTAACAAAATAGAACGATGATACAAAATGTTATGAGTTTTTTAATTAAGCAGTTGAATTTAAATATAATTAGAAATTTGAGAAATTTCTAACCGTTTTAAATAGCACACTGTAAATTACGTATTCACCGTTGCAAAGTAATTCTCCTGTCTTGGTTGAAACGTTCACTGAACTGCGATTAAATTCTGGTTGAGGGGGTTTTCAGCGATAAGAAGTGGTATGGGAATCTTGTCGAACAAGTCCTCTCTGGGATTGTTAGTCAAAGTGTTTGTGAAATAGAAGTGCTAATATAGTTTGGAATGAGGTCCTCTTCGCGTTACTGAGTAATGAATTTCTCGGTTACTCTGATACCGATCTATTGAACAATGCGCCCTTGTCGCGCAGGGCAATAGGTGAAATGGCATCGCCGGCGATTGACTGGAACTTCAATTGGGTCAATGCTTCAATCAATGAATTCGAAACTTGCCAATAGGTTCCGGGTTAAACTAAGGAGCGGAGAGTGAAGGCCCAATATCAAAATTCAAACCGACACTAAGCAAACTGTATTCTGAGACTTAATCAGACTATTTTAATGAGGGAAATTGAGGAAATTGAAATTCAATGACTATACGAAAATATATAATGGATAAATATTGAATAGTAATTATAAATATATAAATAACGCAAATAGGGATTTAAATAAACTTTGAATTAATATTTGTTGGTATCTTAGACGATTTTCAAAAATCTCGCATGAAGGCGGATTGTCAAATTTTCAAAAGACTGATCTAATAATTTTTTAGATCTTTGTTAACCTGAAATTTATTTTTTATTTATTTTACATAATTCGGTGGATTATCAATTGTTATTGTGAGCATCGAAAGAAAGAAAGAAGAATTTAATTTTCGAAGAATACGTCAACTTTTCTCTGGAAATAATACCATTGCGTTGTTAAATTTTTTGGGTGGCAATGCCAACGATGAAGCTGAATTATCCGAGGACTAGATTTAGGTCATTGGTTTAAGAAATGATATCGGTAAGCGTCAAGGGCAGATAAACTCGACGTGATATACGAGCCATACACTTAGGTATAAGTACCCACCCATTCGATTTTCGCGGACTCTTCAAATTTGACGGATTCCCTTTTTTGGTATGAGTTTTTTAATTCAATTTTCGTACCGAAAAATTTGCTAGAACTATTTGCAATAAAATTCATTTATCATTCGAATAATTTCCGGATCACCCTAATTAGATTTTAATCATGGCGATCATGTTCCATGAGAATTGATTATTATGCGTAATGCCTTCGATGAACTTCTTTATTAATTATTAATTTTTTCGAAATTTCATATTTTTTTGACGGAAACATTTCCATGAATACTTCAATGTTCATAATTATTGGAGTGTGCATTCAATCGGAAGGTGAAAGTATGGTTTAAAAAAACCAAAGTTTATTACAAATAAACAAATATATTTTTTACAATCAATTTGTTCCAGTATAATGACAAGAAGCTATCAGCAAATTTTATTTCAATGCACCAGCATTTTCACTGAATTTCCTTTCGTATAATACGAATCCGATGGATATGGAAATTTCAATAACAAAATGCAAGATAAATGTTTAGCGGTTATCTACTTGTTCATTTGCATTAGAAAACGCATTGTTGATTTTCATTGAAATGCTGAGGGAAGCGGCAACTGGCACTTTCATAAAATTAGTTGCATCACCCTTCACCGACAATTGGTGTTGATTTCTGACTGACATAGATATATCGCTGTTCCGGGTTTCATCTCAGAGATACCTTGAAGAACCAAAATTTGATTCGTCCGCATCTTCCAATTGAACGGAAGTTTTTTCCTCTTGTCTCGCCAATATAAATGTCCCCACCAGATAATTCAATAGAAAGGGAAAACATTCAATGCTAATATTTTACGTCCATAAACTTTCCAAGATATTCGTGGACACTTGTCATCCTCTCGAATATTTTTTTCTGCTATAAAACACCATTCAGTGTTATTGAATTTTTAGAATTGTCATGGATTGAAAAGTGCGAATAAATGGAAATGATGCATGTCCGGATGATTGATGGGCCAGATAGGGCAGATAAAGTGCTAATAAAAACAGTGAGAGCTCGCGAATGAAAGAGTGATTACAGAAAGAAGATTAGGGGTAATGGGGAGTGATCAGTGGTACCCGGGGGAAACCGGGTGAGGATAATTAGTGATACCAGTGCAGAAGCTCCAGACGGAGGGGAACGATATGTCTTTCTTCGAGGATGTACTCGTTAATGATACTGATGGGAACTTTACCCAGTTACAAAATCAATACATTGATCTCATCAATGATTCGATGAATGCGTCGAATCGATCATTGGCGGAGGTCAATACCACTGACATCGATCCATTCTACTTTTATGAGGTGAGTTCATTTTTTATATCTTACTGCATAATCTTTGCAAAACGTCAGTATAACCATTCAAATGGAATTTCTCCCACTTCTTCAGGCGACTCACCAAATAATTATAATGTAGTAATTGATGATGATAATTGAGGTATTGAAGTGAATTGATGTGAAGTGGGTGCACTAGTTCAACCGCGGCGACATTTGAAAATAAGTTTTTTTTTTATAATTATAATATATTGGTATACATATTTTTTCAATTGTCAATTCATTTTTTTTAGTAAAAAAAAGCATTTAAATATATAACATTATATTATTATTTTGATTATATTGATTGTATTGATTAGAGATGCCCTAAATGTTGTGAGGGAAATAATTTCTTGGGGAAATGAAATTATATGGGGAAGTGAGGGAAATTAAAATGTTGACAATTAAAAAATTTTCATATGTAATTGTTTTGTGACGGATCGGGAGTAAAATGTGGGTTATAACTCTCTATCACGTCAGCGTGTCGCCTCAAGTTAAAGAGTAGAAAAATTGTACGTCGAACATATTCATTACCGCGTGTAAAGAATTCAGTGATTGCGAATGAGGTTCCCTCGTTATGAATATTCATTAATTGTTGACGAGTCATTTAGTGCTGGGGGGAAGATCAGGGAATGACCATTTCAATGAGAAATTGCGCCGGCATTTTTCTCGCGAACCGCATATTTTTGGAGGATGATAATCGGCCTACCTGGCGCACTTCCAATAATCTGAGTTTTCGGAATTTCGAGAGAGAAAAAATTAATAAACAATTTCACTTATAGAGAATTGCCGAGGCTTTTAAAAGTTTTTGGCTGAACTTTGTGGTTCGACTTGAATTTCGTGGAATTTCATTTTTTAAAACTGAGCTTTTTAAAACATTTTTAGATTTTATTCCAATGGACATCCGCACCAATTATTCCCGTCTTCCTATTGTTAAAAAATTTATTATGCCACAAAATTTTCTCGCTGACAGCAAAATTCATTCAGGTCAATTAAACTTGGTCGGAAATTGAATAAAAAAAATTGCTGTACAAAAGCTCTATTCAATTTCATATCCATAGCGAAATTAATAGGTAAACAATTTTTTTTTATGTCAGTGCACTCCAATGCAAAATTTCATGATTTCAAAACATGTGGGAAAAATTAATCTGCTGAGGAGATTAAAAAAGGAAGTCCTCTGATCTTTTTAAATATTACCAAAAGGTTCAGTACGTCGACGGCAACCTATTGTGAGAGCTTGGAAATTTCCTTGGATCAGTAGTCGTAAATTTCTCCGCAGATTAAGTTCTATTGATTCAATTTCCCATCCTTGTGAAGACAGCGTGGAAAGGGATAGGATTATTGGGGTATGAAAAAAGATTTCAGAGATGAGGTGAATCGCTTCCTGAATTTATGATGAGATCCAAGTCTTGGGAAATGTATCGCACTGAAAGCTCGTGGTTATTAAGTAAGGTACAGCCGATTAGTTTACTTCCTGATTAAACAAACTTTCCTGAGAAATATGAAAAGTTCTCGAAGTCTGGTTATCCTCGATTCAGTTTGAAGCAATGGGATATTCGCGCAGGATCAATCAACTCATCCACAAGTTTGCCAACAAATTTATTGACTCTGGTTAATGGCTTATGCGTCATGAGAAATTCACTGGGAATCCATCTGCAATATTTCAAAGTCGATTCTTTCAATCTTCTAGATTGGATGACATATATTTTCACTTCCATCACGAAACAGCTGGAGTGCTATTTTTTTAGCGACGTGCGGGAAAGTTCAGTTTTCAAACAATATTTCAGGTATTCCCAGTTTTCTGTGATGGATATCTCGATGGATTGAGACTATAAATAAATTTTCAGAGAGTAAGTTCGTTTCCATTACAAAACTTTCTTCAAATGTGGCCAATTCTTGTGACAGGGAGTCACGATAACGTCAATTGTCTAATTTTGTGAAAAAATTTTCCGAGACATCGGGAAATCCTCGTGTCCAGTCCAAGAATTATAGAATTTATTTTCCAGATGAGTTTTGAAATTCTTAAAAAAGTTTTTTTTTATTTCTATGATTTTATTTCTCACCGCGTAGCAGAATCCCAATTTAGATAGTGAGACATATTTGCGAATATCTCATCGAATTTTATTTCAATTAATAAAAAAAATCATTAATATCATTTGCTGATTAAATATTCATCAATAAAAATTCCTTCAACTTTGAAAATACTTTCATACTCTTTATAGTTTTCGCTGAATATTTTTATTTTTCCTCTCCGTGCATGATGTGCATTTCATCACAGTAATCGATGAAACGGGTTGTAAAGAGCATTCAGCGATCACCATGTCATTAAAAATATAGCCTCCAGGCTATAAAAACTATGAGTTTTGCGATCCCAGCGAAAATTATACGAATGGGTTCATTCTCCTCGATAGTTTGTTGTCCCGGAAGTCATTGACAGTAGATCAAATAAATCCGGAGCGACCGTGGCCTGATGATTATTATTTCTATAAATATATGAGGTTTCTCATCAATTGGATCCAGTTGAATGCTCGTCAATTTTCAAAGAGCATTGTTATATCCCGGAATGACGCCCTTGAAGATCAGACCTCGCTGCAAATTTACTGGTATACGCTGGTACGGTGTAATTATAACGATGGTGGTAATTGACGACGATTTTAGCCGACGTACTTCAATCACTGTAATTGTCATATCAATATTCCACCATGTGGGAAACCCTCGAGTATGTCTTCAGGCTATTCTCCGGTTGTCCCTCTGTCAGTCCAGTAATGATCGAGGCTAAATTAACTGAAGGGCTCCCAACGGATGCCAGTGTAACTAGACACCACAAGATTCTTCATTGATTGATTGATTGAATTTATCTAGAGTAAGCTTTATTTCCCTCGGGTAAAAAAAAATTGTAATCGGAATATTTTTTTCAAATTTTCACAAAAATTTCTGGAAAACTTTTCAGAATTTTTTCTTTTTGAAACCAAAAAAAAATTGGGAAACAAAACAATTGTATTTTTGGGAAATGTGTTGAAAAATTTATCAAAAATGTGAATGGGAATTTTTTTTTATCATTTTCTAGAAATTTTTGCGAATATAGGTTTTTTGATCGTAGAAATTATATCAGTTTGAATCGAATTTCAATTAAAAAATGTTAGTACAGAAAATAGATAATTACCAGAATTACGTCGAAGAATTAACTGATTCAGAAAAAGGAAGAGATTCTTTTTAAAAAAAAGAGATTCTGTTGGGATAAGAGAATTTTTAAATATCAGCATGAGTCCTCCCAAAAATTCATGAAGTTTGCATTATACCCAGAAATAAATTGATCGTAGAGTACTTCTCCGATCTGATTACTCATCATCTCCAACTGAGAAAGTTTCGTTTCGGCTGTACCATGAATACTTTCATTATCATGTCGAGCGTATAGAAGATTAATCTCAAGAATCGTGTTCTTTGTGCAAAATATTACATAACCCAGTATATACAACAAAATTTGAGGAGAGGATATGATCTCTAGGGTTGAGATCTCTTAAAGATTCTTGGGAAACAAGACTAAAGTGTTTAAATTTTTTTATTATTACTTCCGACAAGTTTCATAATTACTGCCAAGTCATTTGGGATAACGGACAGATTTATTTGATTCTTTCCGTTTATTCAGAGTAAGTTGACGTCATCAGTAGTTTTATGTACCCTCGGACGACACGTGTCAAAGGAGTCGACACATTATCTCAACACGTGCTTCAGACCAATCACTAGAAAATATAAATGACATAGCAGCAGTTCGCATCCCATATCCAAATTATCGTAAATGAGGCTTACTTTGTAATCTCCTCGAAAGTCAACGATGAACTCGTTTTATGAATGTGAGAAAATACAGAATGAGCCGTTAACATATGCAAGGAACACGTTAAGAAGTGAGAATGTTCGATGGACAGGTGAATGTGATCTCCAAATTGAGGCAATTTCGCTGAGTAAATTACAAAATTCAGTGATTGAAGCATAATGATGGATCTGTACGTTGTTACAAGGGCCTTGTCAATAGCAACTTAATGGTTAGAGGATGCAACCTCAGGCAACCAAATTGGATGATCGCTTTAGCCTCATTATATCGCTCACATCAATGAGGCAATCGCTTCGCTGTATAATGTTACGAGTTGGTCGATTCCCTCGAATCCTCTGCGTTCAATTTGAGTCTAGGGTGGCATAGTGTATGGAACTATTGTAGTACCTGAGATGGAAAAAATTGGGAAATTGGGATTATCTCCTTTCCTATGCTTTTTTTTCATTGAATGCACACCACAGCCGCCCGAAATTGACTTCAAAAAAGTTTTAGAGAATTTTTTAGAAAAATCCGTTTCCCTTTCGGAAAAAATGAAATTCTATTTTTTTTACAGATAGAGAGGTGGGGTGCTTTCTTTTACTTTTCTCGGGAATTTTGAATATGTGGAAATTTTATATATAGTGAATCGGGAAAACTCCACTTGCCACTCAGAGGTACTCAGTGTTACAGCCCGAGTAAAAAAAAATTGTAATCGGAATATTTTTTCCAAATTCCGGAAAATTTTTCTTTTGAAAAAAAAATCGAGAACCAAAATAATTTTATTTTTGGGAAATGTTTTAATAAAAATATAATTTTTTCTTTTAATTATACTGTTGTTGTCTTACTTTTTTGATTTTTCAATATTCTCAAGAAATACGCTATCTAAATTATAAAAAAATTTCCTATTTAAATTTTTGAAAAATTTTTCAAAATCTTTCACAAAAATGAAATTGTTTTGTTTGTTTTTTTGTTTTACGAAATTAAGAAAAAATATTCCGATTACAATTTTTGTTTTACCCGGTAGGTCAAGCAATTTCTTTGAGTTCATTATAAACATCTCATTCCATATATAATCGGCAAGCAAGTGCACTTACACAACAAACCCATAAATTAGCACTTCTCCAGTCGGTTCAAAGAGGAGTTCACCTCATGAATAAACTACCCACGTGTATCTAATCATTCG